TCAGGTCTTTTTTTAACATTGTCATGTGTAATGTTAGTAGGCATTCATTTTGACAACAGCTTCTGCAAACATAACATTGTGAATTTAAATTCGTATTTCTTATTATAAACGTAGGACTCTACTTTGCACTACGCGGTGGCAAGGAACACCGTGCTCTGCGCTTGCATCAGAACCCCCAGATTACCGTACCTGTTATGGACAACAATGGTAGACGGTATCTTAAGTATAGAGAGGATGTTTCAAAGACTAATGCTAGTCTCTCGTGACCCCCTTGGGTGGCATTTGTACTTTTAAGTTTTTAGATATTTAAAATGCTTTATTTAAACCCCTGCTGTACAAATGGTGAGACTTTAATAAACTATATTGTATTGTATTGTATTGTATTGGTATTAGAGATCGCAAGTTGGAGAGAAAAGAAGTGCGGGCTTACGAAAACATCGACAATCAAGGACGATGCTACGTGGGGCTATTTGAGAAATACAAAATGTTGTGGTAAGCACGGGAAATTTAAGTAATTAACCACAAAAGCTTAGTGTTTCAAACTGAAATCAAAATGTTATGTTCTATCCTGCAAAAATTGTTTCCTAATATGACAAGTAATACTTATTCAAAATATGATGTCAGCCCTCCTACAGATTCCAGGTGTATTGCCTTTTATTACACGCCACTAAAGAAGTCGAAGGAGGGGAAGTGGTATATGGAAACACCAGTTGGTCATAACACTTTGCAAGCTACAGTCAAGCGTCTGTGCCAAACTGCAGGTGTTTCTGGGAACAAAACTAATCACTCACTGCGAGCGACAGCTGCAACCAGACTGTATGAAGCGGAAGTAAGCGAGCAGCAGATTTGCGAACAAACTGGTAAGTTTAGTTCCATGTATAGGACAGTCCTTTACCAATATTTTATGATTATCACCGTTTCGAATATTATCTGTGAATAAAATGAAACGCCCTTAACAAGCGTATAGAAATGGTTAATTTTTACAATAAAAATTTATTTTTGATGTAGCCATATTTTCTAAAGTGGCTTAATGCTTTATAGATGTTTAGAACATACGGTTGTATACTTTGTTGTAATTAACTATAACAAATATTTTTTAGGGCACCGGAGTAGTGCTGTCCGCATCTGCAAACGCACCAGCGACGATCTAAAGTCCAAGGCTCCAGACCTTATCGGAAGGAAGATTCCTAAAAAGACGGAGACAGTGTCTTGTGCGCCACCAACTTCAGTGACTGAGACAACTACTTCCGCAACTGAGACAGCTGCTTCTTCAGGTACTTCGGCAGGTACCTCTGTAGACTCAACGACTGAGGCAAGTCTGGAAGGTCTATCCCCAAAAGGGTCTCTCTACTTTACATTTAACTTTCATTAAAGGATGTTACTAGCTGTTGTTTTCTATTGTCTTTGTGCAGAAGTCCGGGAATGTGCCTTTAAGTAAGACCCTGTGATGAAAAATCACTGTGTATCGGGAATGTATTTTTTTCAGTGGCGATACCTAGTATGGAGGTCTTACCTTTTTACAAAGACCCTGGGATGAGGTTTTACTAAATTTACAAAACCCTCATCCCAGGGTTTTGGTAAAATGTAAAACCTCTTCCCAGGTTTTACCATTGTCAGAAAACACATCTTTTCATAATGGCGATACCAACATAATAGGTTTCTAAGTATTGGAGAAAACAGGCTCACGAGGTTTTGGTAGACAGAGCATGCCCTGGGGGTCGGAGAAAAACCGCGGGGGCTTCGCCCCCTTGGTTTTTACCTCTCCCTAGGGCATGCTCTGTCTGCCAAAACCGAGGGAAAGTGTTTTTCCATGCTTATAAACCGAAAAAAGAAACTTAAAACAACATTTGTCAACATTTTTATGTTTCGAACATACTTTCCATGAACCTTAGGAAACGCGCGTAAAATATCTGTTGCTGGCGTACGGATCTTGAAAAGGACATTCTAAAAAACAGTGAGGCTTATGAACACCTCTGTAGCCTCGTGGTACACTCACTGGGCTACAGATATGAAGGTTGCGAGTTCGATCCTCGGGAATATAAAGAAAACATTTGTCATTTGATTTTACATTTCATTACATGTTACAATCTGAACGGAAGTTATATTAATAAAATACCCAGGACATAAAATATAAAAATCGTTGTAATGTCCCTGGGATTTTATATAATATCCCAGGGACATTACAACGTCCCTGTTGATGAGATTTAACCCGACTGGAAAGTAAAACCTCACAATAGGTTTTAATGCCTATAGAAAGAAGTCTCTTACTTAATAGCGATCCCAATGAATAGGTTTATAAATTGCAAATATGACTTGAATATCCTATAAACTCCCGGGGACATTACAACGTCCCTGTTTATGATATCTAACCCGACTGGAGAACAATAGGATGACGTCACCGGAGGTTTATAACACGAGTTTGTGTTTGTGACTATTAAATGTAAAACATGTTGTATTTGGGATAGTACAAATTCTAGTTCTTTTTTCGGGTTGAGTATTTTGTGTACCCCATGCGAGCCATGCCAATTACCTGTCAGATGGGTTTACAAAGAACGTAATGTAGACTACCTACCAGTTGTCGGACCTCCATTTTTGTGCTCTAAATGAAGATGATCCAAGGCATTTGAAAAAAAGGGGAACGTGACATGCCCAACTCGTTATGATCACAAACAAATCCGAAGGCAAGTCACAGGGATCAAAGTTAATCGTTTATATCAAAATATTATATTGAAAATAATTTTGATCGATACTCACTGTTAGGATACCGGTAGTCTGTGAAAAATGACTTCTACCTGCACAAGTTACAACTCAAAGCAATCCATGCACTACACATGAACGGTATAACACTATGAGACTATTTACAGGAGAATACGCGTCTTTGTGCAGAAGGAGATAACTAATCTACGTATTTCTACTGGTGATTGTGTGCGTGCAATTCAGACACGACAGGCTGCCTTACCAAGTTCACCTCCCAGCCTGGTTGAGAATTCACTTGTGAAGCCCACATCAAATATCCCCCTCCGTGATATTGCTGGAAAGTTGCTGAAAACGACGTGAAGCCAAACTCTCACCCATTGGAAAAATCATTCTTTTCCGAATCCAGGCTCGATTCTCGACATGAGTACAGTGTGTGAAGCGTATTTCTGGTGTCCCCCCGCCGTGATATTGCTGGCATTTTACTAAAGCGGCGTTAAAACAAACTCACTCACTCACACACTATATACCCGTTATAGTATGAGGCATGTACCTGGACAAATTATCTGTCACTAACTTAACAATCTGTTGCCACATTCATTTATCAAACGCCAATAAAACATCACTGGATTGTCTGGTCCAGACTCGATTATTTACAGACCGCCGTCATATAGCTGTAACATTGCTGAGTGCGGCGTAAAACAACAAACCAACCAACAATAATACAAACACCAAATACACACAAGCAATAGGTCCTAGGGAGAAACTTAGTGATAAAAACTTTCGTTCGACACGTCAAAGACCCGGGATCAATTCCCCACAGGGTTATAATAAGTGAAGCCTTTTTCTGGTGTCTCTTGCTGTGATAATGCGGCGTAAAATCAAACACACTCACTTACAAACCTTTGCACACTTGGCCTTCTTGCATAATTATAAGGAACCACTGCTTCACAACTATACACCCTTGACTGAGCACACTGACCAACTCGATGTGCTACTTTGTGAACACGGATCTATACATTATACACTCAAAAGACTTTCATAATATTACCTGGGTTCAGTCGCTATAGACAGCGTTTTACTTGTATTCATGATTTACCTGTAGAATGTACCACAGTCAGATAAGAGTGAGTGAATATCGTTTCGTGTTTGTCTCGTATTCCCTGCTGTCAGAACCGAGTCTGTGACATGGCCAGGAAATGTTTGTTTGTTTGTTGTTTAACGCCGCACTCAGCAATTTTTCAGCTATATGACGGCGGTGTGTAAATAATCGAGTCTGGACCCGACAATCCAGCGATTGACATCATGAGCGTTAATCTACGCAACTGGGATACGACGACATGCATCAACCAAGTCAGCCAGCCTTGGCGACCCGATCTCGTTAGTCGCCTTTTACAAAAAACATGGGTTGTTGAAGACAAATTCTACCTCGGATTCTTCACGAATCCGATCGAAACCGGGCCGTCGGCGCGACAAACGTTTTAACCACTAGCGATCCCACTATTGAGTCAGGTTGTTGTCCTTACCGCACATATCCCGTGGTACTCTCACTGCTTACATATTCATATTTGTTCTTTATATAACACACTGTCAAAGAACTGCGAGCTTTTGAACTCCCTCGAACAAGTTGAACGTGCCACACATTGATATTAATGCGGCTCACAACGCAGGCCTCGAAATCCTTTCTGAGTGTGCCAGGTTGTCTGAAACTTGGGTGGGTAGTTTCAACTAATAAATGCGTCGTTTGCTGAATGTGCCGTGAACGTTAAGCAATAGTGGCAAAGACATGGTGTTTACACCTACAGTCGGCTTGTTGCTCTTGACGACTCACTTTCGTGTCGACTGATTGGTAAAATTTCATTTTATTATCATTTTGTTTAAATGAGTTTCGTAACAAAAGATTCCCATGGGACTCAGTGTTACACTCATGATGATTTCGGAACACGCATTTGGTTTGTTTTACTGTGTGAGGACAATGTGGATGTTTTACAAGTGTGGAATTTGAGTCTAATAAGTGGCCTATAAAAATACAAGTTGGCAGTAGGCAATCCTCGAGCATTATATAACTGCAGCTGAAGGTGCATCAGCTAGGTATGACAAGAAGTTGTAAAAGTAAAAACTAAACACGAATGATGGAAATGATGTGGTAAACACCACTCAGCTAATTAAGGACGAACAATCACATTTGCCGGTCCATGAAACTACAGAGATAGGTATAGTTCTGATCTACTTTCAGGACAAAAGTGGTGATTAACGATTGGCGTTTTGTGATACTTTATTGATACTATTCTTTTTTAAATTTGCGTAGAAATCATCCACCAGTCACAACAACTGTATATCATGTAGCGTATTCTACATTCATGGAAGGTATTCTCAAATCCTGATGCAAGCACAGGGTATGTAAACGTGCAGGGATGTTTCATCCATAAGGTGATTCCGATGCACTGGCACAATAATAACATAGGTAGAATGAGTGGGGTTTGTTTATTCAAACTTGACATCATCTCACGCCTGTGCCATTCGTCGCGTAGGGTAGGAAACTCTCAGATGGCGTGGACCAACTGTCACTCGTTTGAGAACGTCAGGCAGCAGCCAAGACAGTATCTCAACCCAGACACTCGCACACATTACAGTGCCTCTGATATCGCCGCCAACACCTAATAAGCAAAAGGGCACTGTAGCTTTAGGTTAACTAAGCAATTTTGATCACTTTTGATATGATTTCTTCAAATATCAATTTGAAACTTGCATAAAGGTGGACACATTTGAGTGAATTGTCAATCGGATTAATTCAAAAGCCAAAAAATAATAATCAGAAAATAATCAGGCTGGGTTCGGAAAAGTCAATGTTTGCGTGTTGCCTTATGCCGCACTCGGAATTATTAATAATGCTGCCATACGACGACCAGACAAGACAGTGATTGGTATCATAAGCAATGATCCACGTCGTCAGGGCACCATGCCACACTATCACCAAAGTCACCAAGCCTGACCACCCGATACAGGCCAACAAAATGTGTTTCAATGACATTTGAATAAAATGTACATGCTCTGGAGTACGTAAGTATTTTGCGCGATATGAAGGGGAAATTCACGATAGGAAACTCGAGATGTTCCCTCTTGTCATACATCTGCAGATTGATCACATCCGTTAAAAATTGTAATAAAATTACATGTCTCCTTTATTGGAAAGGAACTCACTATGGATTAGAGAATGTAACATCTCTTACAATTTATCCTATAATATATCATATCTGGTCAATTTATCATGTCATACAACTAATTTTGAAATCCTGAATGTTCATAAAATCAACGCATACCCAAGATAAGCAGCAACATATACACAAAAGAAACGCAGCTGAAACCGTCAGTCCAGGTGAATCCATAAACATTACCAGGGTAATTAATTATCTGTTCATGATTAACATTCTTATTTGTTCATACACCGGGTTAAAAGCGTCACAGTCTTCCTCCACCTCCAGTATGTGTTCTTCCGGCACCACTTCCAGTAAGTCCTCTGGTAAATCCCCAATATTCACATCGCCTAAAAGAAGGACAATGATCCTATTGTCCATGTTGTTGCAAGCATAAACACTCCGTCGAGTGATGAATTTTGTCCACCCGTCCTCGTCTCCGTCCAGAAAGTCCTGAGATATGACAAGGACTATTCTCCAGCTAGAATGTATCCCGTTAATAATGTCTTCAGCGATATTTCCACCAGGCACAGTATCTCGATGATGCAAGAAAAGACGTAATCCAAACCTTAATTCCAACATGTCTCTCATTTCCCCGTATACGTAGATCCAGTCCGTTTCCGAACTCCCAATGTACGCATCATAATGGAAATCCTCTCTTTTCGCCTGCGGTTCTTCATTAACAAGTCCTAATGCTTTGATTATGTATCGTTGCACCTTTGTCCAGTTCATATGAACAAGAATCGACGAGACCAGTACAAAGCCTAGTAACATTGTAATTGTCAAAGTCACAGAGAGAAGTAGTTTACCAATGCATTTTCTCCAAACCATTGTTCTATTGAGGAACACAGTCAGTGTCGTCGTAAGACTTCCATTCTCAGCAACACATTCGTATTCATCCCTGTCAAGGTTCAGGGGGGCACTGTGCAACCACTCAATAAAATCTATGCTGCTACAGCCGCACGCTAGTATATTGCCGTGAAGGTACAATGACATGTTATTGTTCTGAAACAATGTTTGCAGCATACCGCGTTCGGGAGGAGTTAGAGTAGAAATAGAATTGTAAGCCATATCAAGTGAGGACAGTTTGGGACAGTGAGAGAGATCGAAAGGTATATCTTTGAAATTGTTATTAGATAGCTTGATGTGTTTGAGATCAGAGTTTTCGGAAAATATGTCATTTGGCAAAAAGTCTATTGATGAATGTGTAAGATGTATGTTTTGGAGATTTGTTAGCTTCTTAAATAGTGACTTGCCTTTTGTTGTGAGGAAAAGACTGTCAGCATTCACATAATTCAACTTAAGAATTCGTAACCCACTAAAAGTATCAAAAAATGCTCCCATAATATTTCTAATATCATTACCCGACAGATTTATTTCTGAGAGATGCTCAAGGCCCAACAATGGATAGTTAAATGAATTCATTTCTAAAAATGATATATCAAGCACACGCAAACTGGTGCAGTTGCAGCAACGAATTCCTGCATTCACTTCTCCTACTGTGCTTATATTACTGATATTGAACGCCTGCAGGGTTTTAGGGAGCTGTACGTTATAATGTCCATCTGGAGTACGACTTAAAGACGAGGACAAGAGGCCAGAGGATGTAAATCTATTTTGAGACGTCACATGCACTGAGATATCCATGTAAACCAAATTCGAAAATTTATGTAAGTCATACATTGATACTCGTCCAATGAGCCTGTTATCTGATAAATCAAAGTGCTTGATGCAAGTCGAAAAAAGTGAATCGAAAAGACCTGCGGTTTCTATATAGTAAATTTGATTATCGCTTATGTCAACCACTTCAACACAAATATCACCCAAGTGTTGTACTGTCTCCTTTGTTAGCATTGTCATAGCCAGTTCATCCTGTGTCATTTGCCCTGAGACAAATACGTGGCGCATGTTCAGGAGCGTCATATTTCTTCCTCGTAAACCAGCCAATGACTTGAATGCCGCAGTAGGATTTAACCAATCAACAGCTTCCATCGAAAGAATCGATAAATTATGCAATGGTTCAAATGCATATGTTTCAATATGAAAAAGATTACATAGATCCAATATAAGAGTAGAGAGATTTGTTGATCGAAATGAACTAAATGTGTCATTTGCTATTTCCTTCAGACTACAACTGTTTTCTTTGTCATTATATAATGCACTTGATCCAAGCACAAGAGTTCGAAGATTTATCAGTTTCTCAAATCCACTTTTAAATACTATCTTTGCTGAGCTATCCAGGGATAAATACTGAAGGTTCACAAGTTTGCTGAATGCCTTGTCTGGATATATCATTGTAAAACCCACGGCATATGCATCGTTCCCTTTCAAGTGCAGTTCCTTTACATTTATTAGGGGGACAAAGATGTCATCTGGATAGGTATTGGTGTCCATTCTTAATTTATTCGATTTCATACTTAGTGTCTCGAGGCCCTGTATCCCAGAAAAAGCCCCCGAATCCATATGATTTATCACGTTGTTGTCCAACTGGAGACCTTTCAGGTCGGGGTATGAAATAAAGCTGTTGTTATCCAGAGACTGCAGCTGGTTGTTTCTCAAGTCGAGGCTGGTGACATTACGTCCCCGATTTACAGGCACGGACTTGAGATGAAGCCCACTACAGTTCAGTAACGTTCCTCCGTACCGACCATCAAATGTAGGTGTGCAGAATGTTGTCACCGCTGCATGTAGGTAATATATCCAACACTGCAAGACGACAAGTCTTAGACTGTATACGTAGGCCATTGCTCCTGCAATGAAAACATACATGAGATAGGTTGGTAAGTGAGATTTGTTTAAAATTACAATATTCCAGCTATATCACGGATGCCTGTAAATAATCGAATCAGAATCAGACCATCCAGTAACTGAAGTCATGAACATAGTATTACGATCCAAGCTTTAAAAACATATTAAAAAGGGTTAACGTGGAAGTAAATTGATTGAGATTGTGTTGCAAATATCGATAACATTAAGTATTTAAATGCCCAAGTGAAACTGCTGAAATCACAATCTCCTAATCGGATTCCAAAACAAAACTATTTAGGGCGTAGCCTAAAGCTACCGGTTCAACGGTGCAGCGATACGTGACAAATGTTTTCATTGGCTGATCATGATATGTGTACTTGGCTGCAGCGTCTTTGTACTGTATGGGCTATCTTGTTATGCATAACAGCTCTTCGGATAGTCTGCAAGGGATCAATCAATAGCAAATCTAAAAGAGAATCCTTAAATAGCATTGCATTCGTTGTTGTGAACCGACGTTTGATCTCGACATTATGAATAAACAAAAGAGCAGTTAATGTTTTTAACTTTTGTATGAAACAGAATGTATGTGACTCAATGTATGTAGCTTTTCCTTATGGGTACCATCAACCACTTGCAGGTCTTGGTCCTATTCCATTCAATGAATGCCTGTCAAGCATCATACCCGGAGTAGACAACTGACGGAATCGTCAATGTTGTTACTAATAAGGCATAAGTTGACATAAGCTGTGGCCACGGTAATCAAACGGTTTAATAAACAGAAACAGTCCCGTAATGCGATTACAAAATTCAAGGTGGATGTTGTAAATGTGCAGTTTCGTTAACCATAAACTGATGGATTAGTACACTTCATAAAAGTCAGTAAGCACAGAACACATCAAGCTTTGTAACACTGTTAATTAATGTCTCCTAGTCTACTTTATCTCCTAGCACATAAAAGTATCTTCTGTTTCATCCAATTCTTATGTGACTGAAATCACAAGTCATCTCAGGCGCCGCGATTCGCTGTGCAGAGTTGCGTCCCTTGGGCACGCCAGAAACCTGTGATTGTGGGCTCGAATCCCGGTTCCCCCCTTCATGTTTTTAGGTTTGTCAACAGCATACCCGTGCTCGTGGGTTTGACCGAAGTGGTAAACGTCTGAGACCTGCATCACTTCGGGCTTTCCTCCCACATAAAGCTAACACGCCGTGATATATTTGGAATACTGTTAAAAGCGGCGTTAAATCCAACTCACTCACTCACTATGTGACAGTGACTCCATTGAAGATGAAGTTCATTTGCTGATCAGTTGTCCATTCTATTCTGGCCTGAAATATAATTTATAGAAAGATGTATTGACTGTTAATCCATTTTACAGTCTTCTGTCGCACATTGACCAGGTCACATTCTTACTTAGTAATGACAAATTTGTAAAGCTCTTTGTAGCGAATAGTGATACCATTCTCTTTTATAGGTATGTGGTATAGTGTAACTTGAGGTTCATCGTCCTTTTGGGCGGATGTTTTATCGTGTATTTTATTGAGTTCTCATGCACCGATTTATATAACATGTGACACATTAATGAAATATGTTTCTTTTTCTTACTATTTTTGGACAATCACTAAGTGTATGAAATGACACGGCTTCAGTAGTAGTAGTAGTGGTGGTGGTGGTAGTAGTAGTAGTAGTAGTAGTAGTAGTAGTAGTAGTAGTAGTAGTAGTAGTAGTAGTAGTAGTAGGAATTAATCAATTAATGAATTAACTTGAAGGAAACGGTGACGGAAAAGACGGAACTACTGACACGAGTATACACATAATATCTCACATCTTAATCGTATTAACCTGACCCTGGTGAGTGGAAAGTTAAGAAAAGCCGAACGACCCTTTCCATATTAATAAAAAACAAAAATGGAAGTCCGACAAATGGTAGCCTAGATCACGTACTTTGTGTACCTTATGGGAGCCGTGCCAATTTGCACTAAGTCTTGTCAAAGGGATACATACAAAGTACTTCATCTAGACTACCAGTTGTCGGACTTTCATTTTTATTAAAGCTTTGATGGCTTCATTTACCACTTTCTAAATGGCATTGTTAATTCACACTATTAAATGGTGATGATGCCAGGCGTTTGCGGAAAGGTAAGCGTGTCCCGCCTCATCGATGGCACTCGTCACAAACAAATCCAACAGCAAATCGAAGGGATCAAGTGAATCGTTTATATTAAAATATTATATTAGAAATAATTTTGATCGATACTTACCGATAAGATACCGGAAGACTGTGAAGAATGACGTTTCAAGGTGACTTCCACCCGCCCAAGTTACAACTCAAAGCAACCCATGCACCACATAAACGGTATATCACAATGAGACTAAAATCAGGAGTATACGCGTCTCTGTGCAGAAGGAGAACATTGACCTACATATTTCTAAGGTGATTGTGTGCGTGCAGTTAACCCACGAGAAGTTTCTTTGCCTAGTTCACCCCCCAACCTTGTACAGAATCCATGTGTGAATGACCGATGTCCCCCTCCGTGATATTGTTGGTATGTTGCTGATAGCGACGTGAAACCCAACTCGCCCATTGGACAAAATCATTTTCCGAAACTGCACCACGCCTGTGCATACCAGTACGGTGTTCGTTCACATACCCTCCATTATCTAGTTATCATTTGATGAAAGGCATATGAGAGCCTTACATCACCCAAACCTTAGACATTCTGATCGGTCGATGAGATTGGCAAAGGAAAGAGCGTGTCTGTAGGAGTTAGAAATAGGAAAACAGCGGCAGTGATTGAGTAATGGGTGGGGTCATAAATGCGGGAGTTGAAAAGCTCAGCGTGCTCTTTCCTCTCTGCATACCTGCAAAACAGGTCTGAAGTTTGGATCCAATACCACAGAGAGTCGGTGTATGTAAACAGTAACTGAAAACTGTTGACATACATGTACATTTCTCTTATAAACTGGTAATGGAAATCATACATGACTATCATTGATAAATATAAAGACGAAAATTCAGCATACACTGGTTGATTGAGAAACAAACATGTTTTCTTCAAGTGGACTGCTGTAAAATCACAATCGAAAATTTTGAAAGCTTCAAATGTAGTTTTGGCAGCAGATCTCTATGCAGATATGGAAGAGCACAATGAACACTTCGACATCAGCAGTTATGACCCCACCCATCCTCTCTGCTCAAACGTCAATGCTAAAGTCCTTGCTAAATCTATAGACGAGTCAGGTGGAAGTGTCATGGAAGGGGTCTGCGGTTTAAACCCAACACTGTATTCACTTTTATATAATGGGAAAGAAAACCACAACGCTAATTATAGGTGAGGTGAAATTGGGTTTAACGTCGCGTCCAAGATTATTGCACTTATATACCGACGTGCATGCACGTGTATGTGTGTGTGTGTGTGTGTGGCTGCTTGTACTAGTCCGGACTGATGCCGATTTATAGTGCTAGCCTACTGAGATACCATGTCGCAGTTTAACATGAATACCCCACTCAGACACAGTATACTGACTCCGAGCCGACCAGTCCTTGTTTTTGCCCCTTAATGCCGAGCGCCAGAGAATATCAGAATCAGTAACAGGAAAGTCTAGTTTAGGTCGTTTCCTTAGGGGTTGGTCATTGTTTTCAGGACACTGTGTCCGTACATGACGATGGAGATCATGCATATTTTCTAAAATAACACCACACTCGTGTTGTCGCGTTGTTGCCGTAGATTAAAAGGGATACATTTTACAAACTTCACATAGGATATTTTTTACTGACTGATTCATACAGCGGCTGCCATTCAGTATAACACCATACGATATTGTTGGGTGTTGGTTTTATGGATCCATTCAAAAGTATTTTGTAAACCAAATTGGTCCTTCCACTTCCACTTGGCCCTACAATGACAGCAATTAATGGAAGTGAATACTTGAATGTCTCTCGTTTCGTTTGTGGTGATAATTGTGTTGGTGCACTGCTGCTGTGGTGGTGGTGGTAGATAACTGTTTACTTGCTGCTGCTGCTGTGGTGGTATATAACTGTTTACCTGTTGCTGCTGCGGTGGTGGTGGTAGATAACTGTTTACTTGCTGTTACTGCTGTGGTGGTATATAAATGTTTACCTGTTGCTGCTGCGGTGGTGGTGGTAGATAACTGTTTACTTGCTGTTGCTGCTGTGGTGGTATATAACTGTTTACCTGTTGCTGCTGCTGTGGTGGTGGTAGATAACTGTTTACTTGCTGTTGCTGCTGTGATGGTATATAACTGTTTACCTGTTGCTGCTGCTGTGGTGGTGGTAGATAACTGTTTACTTGCTGTTGCTGCTGTGATGGTACATAACTGTTTACCTGTTTACCTGTTGCTGCTGCTGTGGTGATGGTAGATAACTGTTAACTTGGTGGTGGTGGTGGTAGTGCTGCTGCTGTGGTGGTGGTGGTGGGATATAACTGTTTACCTGTTGTTGTTGCTGCTGTGGTGGTGGTATATAACTGTTGACATGCTGCTGCTGCTGCAGTGGAGGTGGTGGTTGTAGATAACCGTTAACTTTCTGCTGCTCCTCTGTTTGTGGTTGAAGTAACTGTTTACTTGCTGCTCTTGTGGTATTTGTAGACAACTGTTTACTTGCTGATGCTGCTGCAGTGGTGGTGGTTGTAGATAACTGTTGGTTACTTGCTGCTGCTGCGGTGGTGCAGGTAGATAACTCTTTTCTTGGTGCTGTTGTGGTGGTGGTTGTAGACAACTACTTGCTGCTGCTGCGGTGGTACAGGTAGATAACTCTTTACATGCTGCTGCTGCGGGGGTAGTTGTAGACACCTGTTTATTTGCTGCTGCTGCTGCTGCTGCTGCTGCTGCAATGGTGGTGGTTGTAGATAACTGTTGGTTACTTGCTGCTGCTGCTGCGGTGGTGCAGGTAGATAACTCCTTTCTTGCTGCTGTTGTGGTGGTGGTTGTAGATAACTACTTGCTGCTGCTGCGGTGGTGTAGGTAGACAACTCTTTACTTGCTGCTGCTGTGATGGTGGTTGTAGATAACTGTTTACTTGCTGCTGCGGGGGTGGTTGTAGACAACTGATTACTTGCTGCTGCTGCTGCTGCTGCTGCTGCTGTAGTGGTGGTTGTTGTAGATAACTGTTGGTTACTTGCTGCTGGTGTGGTGGTGGTTGTAGGAAACTGTTTACTTGCTGCTGCTGCTGCTGCTGCTGCTGCTGCAGTGGTGGTTGTTGTAGATAACTGTTGGTTACTTGCTGCTGCGGTGGTACAGGTAGATAACTGTTGGTTACTTGCTGCTGTTGTTGTGGTGGTTGTAGATAACTGTTTACTTGCTGCTGCTGCGGGGGTGATTGTAGACAACTGTTTGCTTGCTGCACCACCGCTGCAGCAAGTAACCAACAGTTATTTACAACCACCACCACTGCAGCGGTGGTGCAGGTAGATAACTTTTTATTGATGCTGTTGTGGTAGTGGTTGTAGATAACTGTTGACTTGCTGTTGTGGTGGTGGTGGTTGTAGATAATTGTTTACCTGCTGCTGCTTCGATGGTGGTTGCAGATAACTGTTTACTTGCTGCTGCTGCTGCTGCTGCAATGGTGGTGGTTGTAGATAACTCTTGGTTACTTGCTGCTGCGGTGATGCAGGTAGATAACTGTTGGTTACTTGCTGCTGCGGTGGTACAGGTAGATAACTGTTGGTTACTTGCTGCTGTTGTTGTGGTGGTTGTAGATAACTGTTTACTTGCTGCTGCTGCGGGGGTGATTGTAGACAACTGTTTGCTTGCTGCACCACCGCTGCAGCAAGTAACCAACAGTTATTTACAACCACCACCACTGCAGCGGTGGTGCAGGTAGATAACTTTTTATTGATGCTGTTGTGGTAGTGGTTGTAGATAACTGTTGACTTGCTGTTGTGGTGGTGGTGGTTGTAGATAATTGTTTACCTGCTGCTGCTTCGATGGTGGTTGCAGATAACTGTTTACTTGCTGCTGCTGCTGCTGCTGCAATGGTGGTGGTTGTAGATAACTCTTGGTTACTTGCTGCTGCGGTGATGCAGGTAGATAACTGTTGGCTACTTGCTGCTGCTGTGATGGTGCATGTAGATAACTCCTTTCTTGCTGCTGTTGCGGTGGGGGTTGTAGATAACTACTTGCTTCTGCTGCGGTGGTGCAGGTAGACAACTCTTTACTTGCTGCTGCTGTGATGGTGTTGGTAGATAACTGTTTACTTGCTGCTGCGGGGGTGGTTGTAGAAAACTGATTACTTGCTGCTGCTGCTGCTGTAGTGGTGGTTATTGTAGATAACTGTTGGTTACTTGCTGCTGTTGTGGTGGTCGTTGTAGATAACTGTTTACTTGCTGCTGCTGCTGCAGTGGTGGTTGTTGTAGATAACTGTTGGTTACTTGCTGCTCCGGTGGTGCAGGTACATAACTGTTGGTTTCTTGCTGCTGTTGTGGTGGTGGTTGTAGATATATAGAATACTAAACGAGCTCCCGTGTAATACCAATTTTATGAAACGAGTGAATAGTTGTGGTATCTGACGAGCGAAAGCGAGTCAGATACCACAACTATTCACGAGTTTCATAAAATTGGTTTTACACGGGAGCGACTTTAGTATTTTATTTATTACTTGCCATTTATAACGTTTTTTGAATTATACTGTTGAGTATGAATAGGCTGACACCTACACGATCCACGGCATATTCCAATTGAGTTTAACAGAATAATTCTTCAAACACGTCAAAAGTTGAAACGTAGGAATTTAATACCATACAACGGTCCACCTTTAGAATTCACAAAATTATCGTAGGGCTAAGACTATCGCAACTCACATACTTTAAAAGACTAACGACTGTCGTTGCGCTACAATACGATCGCCTTGTGGAACGGGCCTTGCACCTCAAAGTTTACAATAACGTCACAATACCCGATGACGTAATTTGTGGAATTTTGTTGCAAGATCCATCGGCGAAACAATGCCATGTGACGTCAGCCTAGCAACAAGGTTGCTTTGGGTCATCGAGTGTGCATAAGCTCCTCTCAGTGATCTATCAACTCCACACGCAATATCGTTGAATAAGCCAAGGGATGTTGAGAGCTTTCAATATTTGTTCGTGAAACGTGTTCCGAGAGTACAGAAGCACGCGTTTTGGTATTACACAATGTGTAATACAGCTGTATGTTTATTAAACGGGTGATCTCTTCAAGGGCAAGTAATAAAACTGTTTACTTGCTGCTGCTGCGGGGGTGATTGTAGACAACTGTTTGCTTGCTGCTGCTGCTGCTGCTGCAGTGGTGGTGGTTGTAAATAACTGTTGGTTACTTGCTGCAGCGGTGGTGCAGGTAGATAACTGTTTTATTGATGCTGTTTAGGTAGTGGTTGTAGATAACTGTTGACTTGCTGTTGTGGTGGTGTTTGTAGATAACTGTTGGTTACTTGCTGCTGCGGTGGTGCAGGTAGATAACATTTTTATTGATGCTGTTGTGGTGGTGATGGTAGATAACTGTTTACTTGCTGCTGCGGTGGTGGTTGTAGATAACTGTTTACTTGCTGCTGCTTCGGTGGTGGTTGCAGATAACTGTTTACTTGCTGCTGCTGCTGCTGCTGCTGCTGTGGTGGTGGTAGATAACTGTTGGTTACGTGCTGATCTTCGTCTGAATGATTTGCATAAATATGTCGTACCAGGTCTTAAGGCCAGACATACTGATTGGAAAATATGGACCAAATAACATGTTGACACATCAGTGGTTGAATATAAAATGATCTCCTCACCTTTCTTGGCTTCAATATTTATACATGTTGAAGATTGGTCTCCTGAAACCAGCTGTTAAGCTTCTTAGGATAACCTATCCATTTTGTTCTGACAAGTTCTCCTTCTCTTCTTAAGTACTTTTTCCACTCGCCATATGCTATCATCACACTTATTAACTCTCTGCATTTCGTTTTTTATGAAAACGAACTTGTACCGGATCGTCTTCCATATCTTTCATATGATAAATTGGAATAACATCTCGATAGCATCGTCTTTTCTTGATAGTCTCTTTGAAAGGTGTGTCTAAGATGAGACAGTCTCACATGATCAACCACTTTAAACTTAAAGTGTTTCTTGATTGATTTAGCCTTTACCTTAACTTTAGTCACAACCTTGGATTTGACAGGTTTGATTAATGTATCAATGTATTGTTTTTTCCATACTAAAACTTCATTTCTGTTATTAATGTCTGGTGCTGATCTTTGGTTTATTGATCTATGTAGTCTTTGACCAGATCGTTCTGCCCTTCCAGGAAGTAATACGTTTGCTTGAACGTGAAATATCTGTACATGGTTGTCTTGAGAGTACGAATCACACGCTCAGCATAGGACGCTTTTGGTTCATTGTGGATGACATAATAGGTGATGCTCTTACTTTTAAATAGGTTTTCACTTTTCTATTGTTGAATTCAAGGTTTTATCCGACCTTATGATTTTGAGGAAAGGAGAGGTTGTAAATATTTTCCTCAGGGCTTTGACAACAGAGTCGGGAGTCTTGTTTTTCATCTGTTCCACCCATAGATATCCTGCAAAAAATACTGATATTATTAACAAGTACTTGACACCATCATTACCCGAAGCTATGTTAGACACGTCAATATCCCATCGACCATTAAAACCTGTAGCAACCATTCTTTTCCGCTTGAACGTATACCTCAAATGCCTCTGAAGTGAATAAGCAACTTGTGAAGCAAGCCGCTTCTTAATGTGATGTAATCCAATATCAAATTTGTCCTCCTTCATATAGAGTTCCGTGGGCCGAGAAAAACAGACTGGCCGTTTGGAATTAAAATACATACTTGACAAATACTCCTCCCATCCTTCAGCTGGCATTTTGACAGTAAAAATGATTAACATCTATAAATGTCATATTTATACTACTGGCTTACTTCAAAGGTTTGTTTACATATAATTATGAAAGACAATCGACAGCATGCCTAACTAGACACTCTAGCTATGCTTTACTCTGTGCACACACCCTCGGGAGACGGAACACTGTGTTACGGTTGTAGCGAGGGTATTTCAGAACTACATGCATTGCTCCACTGCTTGAAATATTTCACTACAGGGCTGCCGCTTGTGCAATATTTCTAACTCCTACCGACGCGCTCTTTCGTTAGCCAGACAGATTAACACACACACCCCACCACCACCACCACCATCCCCCACCTACCCCCGCACCCCCCCCCCCCCCCCCCCCCCCCTTCTGATCGACCAATCAGAATGTCTGAGGTATGGATGATGTAAAACTCTCATACTTCATACCTGTGTCCTCTGTTAAACTCACACGCACACTCACTCACAAACCTTAGCCTCCTTGCATAAGGGGCCACTATACACACTTGACTGAGCACAAAGGCTAACTCGGTGTGCTACTTTGTAAATACGGATCTACTCTTTGCATTCATTACACACTCAAAAGACTTCTTTCATAATAGTACCTGGTGTAAGTCGCTATTGACTGTTGCAAATTGTAGTCATGATTTACCTGTTAAATGTACCACAGGCAGATAAGGGTGAGTGAATATTGTTTCGTGTTTATCTAGTATATCCTGCTGTTATAACCGTGTCTGTGACATGGCCAGGAAATGTTTGTTTGTTTGTTGTTTAACGCCGCACTCAGCAAGACTCCAGCCGTATGATGACGATCCGTAAATAATCGAGTCTGGACCCGATAATCCAATGGTTGACATCATGAGCATTGATCTATGCAATTGGGAAACGATGATATGAATCAACCAAGTCAGCAAGCCTGACCACCTGATCTCGTTATATTAGTCTTACAAGCACATTCGCCTTTTACGACAAGCATTGCTTGCTGAAGACCATTTCTAACCGGATCTTCACGAACCTTGGCCGTTGGCGCGACGAACGTTTTAGCCACTCCCGATCCCACTATTTATTCAGGTTGTCCTTTGCCCACATATTGCCCCTATGGAACTGTCACTGTTTACATATTCATCTTGGGCGGTCGGGTAGCCTAGTGGTTAAAGCGTTCGCTCGTCACGCCGAAGACCCGGGTTTGATTCCCGATATGGGTACAATGTGTGAAGCCCATTTCTGGTGTCCCCCGCCGTGATATTGCTGGAATATTGCTAAAAGCGGCTTAAAACCATACTCACTCACTCACTTACTCACATATTCATCTCTATTCTACATTTTACACACTGTCAAACACTGCGAGCAGTTGAACTCCCGCTAACAACGTGAACGTGCCACTCATTGATATTACTGCAGCTCACAACCCAGGCTTCGAAATCCTTTCTGGGTGTACCAGCGTGTCTGCGAGTAGGATTGGGGGTGGGGGGCTGATGTGGGTTTTAATCATAAAAGAGAGCTGAGATTTTTCCAGTCGCATTTCAAATTATACATGTACATATGGACGGAATGTTGAAATTTTCTCATTATCTACATAAATATAATTTAACAGTACAGACATATGTGCTTTTATAACAATCCACGTATTTTTGCGAAAAAAAGAATTTGATTGATTTATGGCCCTATTTAGCTATTGGATCCCCCGCCCCCAGGCCAAGTTATCAAAACAAATAGCAAATCACACCGCTCAATAGCGCTGAGTAGTACGTACTTCCTAAAAAGCAAATTGAATAGTGTTTTCCTAAAAACAACGCTTATATCAATGTTTATTCTGTTTGCGGAGTAGATGTCATCAAAGTGGAAGTCCTCACCCAAGCAATGGTAATACTACCGGATGTCCATTATGTAATTTCTAGTTTTTGGATGACATATTGTTCTCAGTAACCGAAATGTGGAAATAGATAGTTGATAGGTTTTATATTCAAGTTGGTATTTCCGCTATTCAACGTGTTCAGTGATGCCGTCTTATCAACAGTCATTTCTGAGACATATATGCAAAGTATAATTACCGTATTCAACGTAATAAGCGCCCCGCTCTAATAAACGCCCACCGCGATATTTGCTAATATATTGGCTAGTGAACAATCCCAATTAGCACCCCTTACGATTGATGAATGTACACATGACTTATTTATTCGCGTATAATACGCACTCGTGCGTTATATGGACACTTATATATGGGCAATTAAATTCGGGAAAAATATATCTGTCGTACATAAACAGTTCAGGCTGTCAGCATAAACCACGAAATTTATCTTTCAACTCAACTTTTTTTTTCGCCAAAATAATTCTAATTTTTGAGAGCGCCCTGGGCGCTTATTACGTCGAATACGGTAATTATGTCTACGCTATTTTCATTTCATTTATAATTAACTCTAACGTTAATTTCAAGATTTACAGCACATACTATTCAAACGAAGTTAAAGAACATCCGATTCCTTCATATGACTATGGTTAGTCATTAGAAGAACCGATAGGGCGAGAAAGCGATAGAGCGAGAAATCGATAAAGCGAGAAAGCGATAGAGCGAGAAAGCGAGAAAGCGATAGAGCGAGAAAGCGATAGAGCGAGAACGCGATAGAGCGAGAAAGCGATAAAGCGATAAAGCGAGAAAGCGATAGAGCGAGAAAGCGAGAAAGCGATAAAGCGAGAAAGCAAGAAAGCGATAGAGCGATATTTCCCATAATGCCGTACATTAAAACGGTTTTTGCTGATATCTAGTGATCCATTCCTGTAATTCTCACCGCTATTTTGCCTCTTATGATTAGATTTTTTAAACATCTTGTAGTAGATAAATATGTTACAAAATACACACGTAATTTTTTCTCGTTTAGCTTGTATATTTTCTTGTAGTGTAATAAATAAGCAAGATTCACAGAATACAGACAGTCACTGTTCATATTTTCATTTTGTTTATAGTACACACACCATCCCCCACCCCCCACCACCACCCCACCCCGTTCCTCCATCAATCTTAAAACTGATAAAAAGGAGATCATATATTGACAAATAATTGTCAGTTTTATTTGCCAGTTTGTAGTGTTTGCGACGTCCAAAGAATTATTTTTCTCGGTCATTAGATTTGGAATTGAAGCCGAATGTGTGCTCGTCCGATTCGGGATCACAATTATGTTCATTAAGTTGCATGTACATTATGCATACATGTACACAGTTATGTTTCTCTTACAAAATACAGATGAATTAGATATATGTCTCTACCTTAAGTCACATATACGACTTTCGAGAGCGTCATTAACCCGTAACCCCATTCCTTGGACAATAGAAATGAAATGCGTTGTAAATATTTATTAAAAACAACTCGTTTCTTATAATGACTTTTGATCAAACTGTCTTCGGGAATTAAATTTAATGCTAAAGTGCTTGTAAAATAAAGTTTAACTTTCCCGCCAGGAGAGACTAGATATCCAATTATAGTATAGGCTCAGGCAGGAATATACATATTTATGTAGCAATTCTCTATCCATTTAAACTGTATGGTTAAGAATTGTGCGTTCTGATGTGAGTTATGTTGTTATCTACTACCTTTTTACACAGACAATGAGTCGGACTCACACACAAACACAAACACAAACACACACACACACACACACACACACACACACACACACACACACACACACACACAACAACAACAACAACACACACACACACAACAACACACACACACACACACACACACACACACACGCATATAATTTTGACAAAACTATACTTAAGATATACATAACATATCATAATGATAGCTGATTTAATATATGTTATAGATAATCATAGTAATGCATTTCATATTGTTATCAACCTTAACTTTGTGGCCACACTAATTATGTCTCTCCATATGTGTAGTTTACACAAGTACACATATCAACTGTGGTAACGCCACAGCGATGGGGGCAGTGGGGTAGCCTAGTGGTTAAAGCGTTCGATCGTCAGGCCGAAGACCCAGTTCGATTCCCCACATGGGTACAATGTGTGAAGTCCATTTCTAGTGTTACCCGTGATATTACTGGATTATTGTTAAAAGCGACGTGAAACCATTCTCATTCACTAACAGCGGTGTTTATATGCAAGTACATCTATTTGTAGATTTGTAGATTTGCACAAGACAAGAAACACAATTCAAGTTAAACATACATCAAATGTCAAAAACAACATTTACGGACAACCTTATGACACACTGTAACATCATATACTACCGAAAACAAGTTATAGAACACCCACAATTATAAGATTGTATTTTTGCAAAACAATCAGCCATGACGAATTAACCATACTTCAGTCTTCTTATCTTCTTTTGAAAAGTATATATTTAGATTTTAACCTGATTTATTTAGAGCGTATTACCATGATCTGCCACGCGCTTTCGGCGTGATGGTTACATACAACTGAATAGGGCCATAAATAAATCAATTATATTTTACCCAAAAATCGGTGGATTGTTTTAAAATCACCTACGTCTGTACAGTTAAATTATGTTTTAAGTAAATAATGAGAAAAGTTCAAAATTTCCTCCCAATTGCAGCAGATATCACATGCGGCCCCTGTAGTGGTCAAGAGGGGATATTGCTTAACCGTGAGAAAGCGAGAAAGCGATAAAGCGATAGAGCGATAAAGCGATAAAGCGAGAAAGCGATAGAGCGAGAAAGCGATAGAGCGAGAAAGCGAGAAAGCAATGTCCCCCCTCGGCCACCATAGACAGTGTCATACTGTGTTATATAAAGTTACGGGGGCGGTCGGGTAGCCTGTTGGTTAAAGTGTCCGCTCGTCACGTCAAAGACCATGTATGTTTGGTTTGAGTATGTACATAACCAGGTCACATGTTATGTCATATTATATGGTCTCTGGTCTTCAGCAACGCATGCTTGCATTTAGAGGCGACTATGTTTGTCGTAAGAGGCGACTAACGGGATCGGGTGGTCAAGCTCGCTGACTTGGTT